TAATAATGTGGATAAAAAGTAAAGGCCAGCTGATTCTTACCACTTAGAAAAACTGCTGTATGTTTTTAGTCCGCTAAACTTTTGGAGGAATGTTGGAAACAGAGGCTATCACTGTCTAACTTTAAGATCCTCGACCTAGCGCCTTCGTGGACAGATACATAGCAAGGAAAAGCCAATTCTCCTCAATTAGTAACTTTTGGCATATAATCATGAAAGATTAGAAAAAGCTATTACGCTGGCTGATAAGATTCGAAAAGGTAAATATGTGATAGTGAGTTTCACCTTAATAGATTTTGTATACAACTGACTTGGGAGCAAATTTCAAGTATCGTTCTGATACTGAGAAATACGGGCTGATGACAGACAATATGACAGAAATTGCCAGTATAACCTCCCTCGTCTCTGATAGCAGTGCTAACCAAATTTATGCCTGTTTGCTAGGCTTCCATTTGACAAAACATGTGGCTCAAAGGTAGGGACGCCGGACTCACAACGAATAACGGTCGAATTCAAGCTTCAGGGTCTGTAATAGCTGGGATTAGATATGGTTGGCTGATAACGGGTCACTGGCCAGAAATAGGCATTCGAGTTTAGCTTAGCTAAACTCCGACAGCCTACGCTTACCATCACCATTATTCGTTACATAGCGCTTCCTTCATTTTTGTTTCAAGGCAGCTCTTCTGTAGGGTGATGTTAACCGTGTGCATTACAACCTAGTTGACGCAGGAGGGTGCCTTTCGCGCGCGAAATAATTTATAGCGTTAGTAGACTAATAGAGTTGTATTGCACGTGTCATAGATTTGCCTTTCTCATCCATCTGGGCTCGAGGACAGGACCGAGCCAGGAACTCAGGGGTCGGCTCTGGGACCTGCGCTGAGAAAGCTAAGCAGTATGTTTCGTTTCCTTGACTTCTATATCCAGCAGTCACGCGTACGTCAAACCCAATGGTAACAATTATCCAGGCAGTACAGTACTATTAAGCAAAAAAATAGTAAAAGATAAACGATGTACAAACCTCAGCAATGGACACAAACAATTAAAAGCTAAGGGAGTCGGGCAAATCGCCTGACTCTACAAAGGAACAACACAAGTCCAGCAACAACGCCATACAGGGCGAAACTAGTCTTGGGAAAACATGTGTGTATTAGTGGGAGAGGGGGCGTGGCTCTCCTTTTATAGGATTCCAGGAGGCAATTCATGTGGCAACAAGATTGATCTGAAACACCAGCGGGAAAGGGAGGAGGGCTCCGTGACCAGTGGCAATACGAAAGTGTCAGCAGCAAGGGGTGGCTTGACGAGTGCTTCTCGGGTAGCCGCGGCAACTGGGTCAAGGAACGGGGGGAAGAGGTACGGACAGCTGGGTCTCCACAACAGAGTCACTCCACGGGATTTCATCTCCGGGAGTCGAAACGACTCTCTGGCGTCAGCGGGGGGTCGACAGCATCGTGAGGAAAGGTGATAACAAGCAAGGGAGCCGAACAGAGGGGGGGGGGTTGGGGGAAGTAATCAAGAGTGTGCAATCGAGTGAAAAGGGTAAACAGTATTCGAGGGGGGATCGGGACATGGGCACGCGGCTCAGGGGGACAGTCTTCGTAAGAGCGAAACAATCATTGACAGGTCGGACAGAATTTTCGCAGGATAAGGAATGTGGAGAGTTTCAAATTTGTTCAGCCGGAAATAACAGAGTACGTCTATGCTTTCCTCGCGATGGAAAGAGTTTTAACAAGAAAAGAACAAAGCATCTCAAATAACGTCTAACTGGTAGCACCATAAATGCCACGCGAGACAAACGAGCAATTGAGCTGGATTCTCTTTTCTGGTAAAATGGAATTATCCACTCAGTCGGCAGCCTTCGGAGCCACCAATTTTAACGCGTCGTGATAGATTCCGGCGCGTCAAATTTTATGTAATGAGGAATACGCTGAAGTATAGTGAGGAGGGATTAACCAAAGTTTGTTTCACTGGCTCTTTCCTCTCGCCTGCAATAACCCACTGTCCGAACCACCTGACGCTTGAAATAATGCGCAAGTGACTTCCGTGGTATGAATCCGGCTCATTGGCGTGCGATCATATGGCCTCGTTCTAGCACTTGAAATGGACTGCGCAGACTGCTTGTGATTGTTCGACGATCGATTTCGATTAAGGCCACCACATGCACCAACAGGTAAGGGCAGTGATGGTGACTGGTCACAGGGAGTAGCTTTAAAGTGATAGTTCACGTTCACCATGGGTCAAGAAGACCAAACTGGATCTGGCGTTGGGCGTCCTCTCCGATACAAGCCAAAAACAGCGCCTAACTTAGTCGTGCGTGACAGTGGACTTTGAGCGGATACTACAGCACTACTTACCCTCACTCACTTTCAGTAGATTCAAGACAGGCTCCAGGAGGCCGAGACTGATACGGCTACTACTATTTCTACTACTACTAACTAACAATTCAGCTGAGTGTTACTAGTACTGGTATTATTTCTGACGATAGTATTAGTCAGAGGTGACGCGGATTAAAAATCATGCTGTGGCGTATCCCCTCTTGATCTCAACAAGGAGTATGAATTTGGGTTTAACCTATTCTGAGACAATACGTGTTTGAGGCCCTGAGCTTGCCCAGGTTTCCAGCCGCTCACCTCTATCTAACAAGAGCTGTGCCACCTTCTACTAAGTTTAAGCTAGAATGCCGCTGCTAGACGTACTATTCCACTGCTAAGGGTGACAATTCTAGTAATCATGCTTACTAAGACCAGCAGATAGTATATTCTAATAATATATTCCTAAATTTTTATCAGTAGCTGACATGCATTGTATTTTTGCAGTAAGCAGGACAGATGGGAATATGAACGTACTCGCGTCCTAAACTTCATCTGGGCTGGTTTTGTAAAGCACATGAGTGAGCATTCACGTCCGGTAGGGAGATTAAACTATATGCAGACTATACGCAGCCTCAGTAGCGCTTGTCATGCCCGAATCTGGCCCTCGTTTAGGTCCAGCGTCTAGACAGCGTGGCCACTCAGGAGCCAGTAACCCTGACGCCTAAACATGGCACGCACGCCATGAACTGGATGCATCTCATGTGATGCAGATCCAAAACGAGTAAAACTCACGTGACCTGTCTCTCCACCGCTCTGATTAGCAGGAACCTGCTTATTCGTTTCCTCTTTAAAAGCTGATACAGAATTATTATAGGTAGCAGCAGGGATTCGTTTAACAGTGCTTGGCAAGGTACTTCCCATGACCTTCATGTAAACTTGAGACTACGGTAAATTGTGCCCAAATGTTACTTCTCAAACACGCATTTAGGACCTTTGTAGGATTGCTTATTTCTCAGTGTGCTTTGGGCTAGCATACGATGCTCACTAACCGAAATTTATAACATTTTCGAGCAGCTGCAGACCAATCTTGAGTTTTTCGTTCATGTAAAAGACACTCGCTTCAGAGTAGCGAGGCCAGCCATTAATTTTCGTTTAGTTTTCCCTATTGCGTTCCGACGTGGTGTGTAGTAATTAAGTGGACTTGAGGCAGTACTGATCGAGCAGGACGTTAGACGGAACATGCTTGGAATAAAGGCTTTCTATACTTTGACTGAACTGAGCAAAGTGATGCATGAACTTGCGCGTAGTATCCTCCAATAATTCGTTTAAAAGGGAAGGCTGTGTCTGCAACAACTCTCATTAAGAATTGCGTTCATCAGGAGATAAATCTCCGCGGGATATCTAGGGACCGGACAGTGATTACTTCTGCCAGAACTGAAATGGTGCTGAAAATGATCTATGAGAGCTAAGCAATACTTTTGAATGCCAGTGCATTGCAAAAATAATGTAGAAAATATGTTACGCTCGTTGGAAAGCGTGTGCTTATTGGACTGACTCTTCAGGTTCCAAATCATCAGAGACAGTCGCAAGTAGCGGTAATGGAAACACAAAACTCTAAGTACATACTTATCATGCGACCGCATGCTTACGATAATTAACAACTCTTGCGATCGCCCGCTTGCGGTCGTAGATTATATGATGCTTGCATGTCAGGCGCCATCCGAGTCATTAATCATTGCGATTTCATCATTTATGTTGGCATGGGCACGACTCGGCAATTCGACTCGCTGTCATTGGAATTATTAATTGCCTGTACCTGGAGGATTCTCAGCTCGGCAGCATTTTCAGTACAGAATATGGGAGCGGGTGGACATGAAGCTTGTTGGTGGATTGCGGACCTAAAATAAATGGCCCGAGAAGCTTGTGGTCTACGCAGTTGTCACCTCTTGCGACGTTTTGGGCCTCCTGAAACTTGAAAAATATCGCTGGAGTCGGTCGAACGAACCGCAGCTCAAGATTTAACAACATTCTTCTTTACTGTTGTTGTGTGCTCGGCCATTCGCGTTCGAAGTACTCTCCCAGTTTCTCAGGTGTAGTTATTTCCACGTAGCTGCACTAGATTCCAGCCGGTATCGGAAACGTCAGCCCACTTCCTATCTTGTTCCAGTGACTGTATCGTCTTCTTATGGAATGCTTTCAGACAGCCGCCTTTTTAGTTACATCGGCAAAAACGTTAAGATTAGGTTAAAGGTTGATAATCCGGCCGTATCTTAAGATCTGTTATCGATTGCCGATTTCTTGCACTATAGGCGAAACGCATTGTTACTCATTTCAGGACAGTGAGAGTTTATGGGTCTCAGCTACGACCAGTGTCCGAAAAAGCTTAGAATAGATAGAAGTCAATCCAGTTCAATTTAGTCAACTCAATTGCGAAAAAAACTCACGGCGTCAGCGAGAGTCGAACCCGCACAACAGGGAAGGCCTTTACGCAGCCAACGCTCTACCGATTTGAACTAGGACGCCACGCCGTGCGCCGTGAATTCAATCACACGAGGATCAAAACCCCCTAATAATCCAGTCCAAGCCAATAAACAGTTGAAAATGCATTAGTTAAATGTTCAGGTTCTTGAGAGAACCGAACAATGACATTTCATGTAAGTACGGTTACGCCATAACGGGGAAACTTCCCAGAAGCGAATAACGTCTATGGGAGAATGTGAACGGCCATTCTATTTCAGGTGTTCACCAGATTGCTATAGCGGTCTTAGTTTAAGATCTTTCAAAAGTCTTTATACCGCCATCTTACAATTCATTTTTGCCCTCAAATGTAAGAAGTCTGTTCACCATCTGGATGGAAATTTTCGAAACTTTTTCAAGGTTTTATGACTACGGCTTTGCGTGTTTCACATAAGAGCTTATCTGTTTTTACGTGTTCTAAACAAGAGACGTTGCAATGTCTTCCATGTTCGCAGTTATCAATTAAGGTCACACAACATTTAAGATTTCTATTTTAATCCATCATGATATTAAAAGGGTTCGAAATTTTTGGTTTGCTTTTTAGACATCGAGGTTTCAGTTTTTAAAACAAAATTTGAAATATGTTTCCATCTGCCGTCAGCAACGTTAGGGACACAGGAATTTGTAAATTGTGTTCTACGTACTGCTTCAAAATTATTTGCTCACCAGTCCACTGTTAGACATAAATGTTTACACGTTGTGCTTTTCTTGCCATAAATACCGCTTTTTTCCAACCCTTGCCTTACATTTCAGGCCTGGTCACGGCACTGCCAAGCTCTCTCCTGTACCAACATGCTGGACTGCGTGAAGGCAGCCCGCAGGGAATATGCCCGCAAAAACCCACGGATTCAGCCCCTACTAGAGACGCGATTCAACAAGTTCGTTTTAATTGATGGTCTTACACAAATGCGCGTGCTCTACTTCAATCTACCTCTCATTGTAAAGAATATTACGAAGGACCTGGAGAAGAAAACTACAAAGTACAAAGGTATGAGCATAAGCGGGTTTCCTCCATCGACTTCCTTATAACGGCCAATTTTCCAAGTGCGACAGCGTAAACCACACCAATGAGAT